CCGACGTCTCGCGCCGCGGGATGGAGGGCGATGGGGGCTGGGGTGCGACCGTGTGGTGACCGACTGGAGCACGGAACTTCCTCCGCGGGGCCGGAGGCGTCTCCACTTAAAGGTATTTTTTCTGGTCTCCCCGACTCCCGCTTTTACCCCTGCCTTCCCCCCAATATCCTAACTACAGGAGTCAACTTCTCCGTTGAAAAAAAACACCCCCCGGCGTGAGAGGCCATCCTGGTGATGCTAACAGTGCCTTCCAGCGGCCTGTGTTTCACTCGGGATATAGCTGATTGAAGATGTAGCTCATGGTATGCCCTCTTCCAGGCAAAGGATACCCCTTATTTCAGCTTGGCCACAAATCTTTTTCCCCCCTCCTGAGAGGAGACCACCAGCTGCATTCTTACATATAAAGTCCAAAGGGTTGTACAAAGCTGTCATCCTCTAATCTACAGTATCCTTTCCCTCCACCTGCTGGTGGTGGTTGTGGGGGATGGGGTGGGCTATGGAATGGCACCATAACGTTTTATTATTTAAAAAAGAAAAAAAAAGGCCGCCTTAGACTCAGCTGCTCCCCAAGTTCTCAGTCTACATAGTGTATGTTACACTCACATACTCACACACGTGCCACTGAGATTTCTGATAGAATACTTCAACTCCTCAGTTTTTAAGAGTTTAGGTAAATAAGTTTAATTTTTCCATTCTGTGTCTGAATCAGGAGTTTAACTTTAGAGAGAAGATGATCAAGAAGTATTTTTTATATCCTTTGTATATTTTTGTAAAAGAATCTTCAAATTCCCATTGTGTGTTTCTGAACTAAACATTTGCTTGACTGGGATTTTTTTGGGCTTTTTCACAAAGCTCCTCAATCTCTAAGATAGTTTGTGGTGTCTTAATGGATTTTTTAGTTTGAGAGACTGTTAAGACTGGGAGTGTATGTTTCTTTTAGTGATGTGTTTGTTTTAAGGTTAATCTGAGATGCATTACTCTTGCACTACTTTTTTAAATGCAAAAATTTAACATCTTTATTGAGATAATTCATATGCCATAGAAATCAGTATTTTAAATGTACAATTTATGATTTTCAGTAAATTACCTAGTTGTGCAACAATATCGATGTGTTTTTACTACAACTGTGAATATTAGAATGATAAAAATCACACAAATTAAAAAACTGATGAATACCACAAAGTAACAAAATCCAGAAAAGAGCAGTTAGGTGCTTGACAAATCCCTATAGTTCTTTGCCTCACCCTGCCCTGACATTTCTGGCTTCATTTTTCTACCAACTTCATCAAGATGTAATTTATATGCCATACAAATCATCCATTTATAGTGGCTTGAAGTGTATTACATAGTTGTATAACCATCATCTCAATCCATCTTTGAACATTTTCACTACCATGAAAAGAAACCTGTACTCATGCACAATCACTTTCCATTTCTCTGCTACCCCAGTCCAGACAACTACTTTCTGTCCTTTTAGATTTGCTTGCTCTGGATATTTCCTATAAATGGAAATATACAATTTATGGTATTTTGTGACTGATTGTTTTCAAGTAATGTAATGTTTTCAAGGTTCATTTATGTTGCAAGAATATATCAGTGCTTCATTTTTTCTTAGGGTTGAATTCCAGTTTATGGTTATACCACATTTTGTTCATCCATTCATCAGTTGATTGGCTTTTGCATTATTTCCACTTTTTAACTATTACTCAAAATGCCCTGCAGTGAACATTCATATGTGCTTTTTTGTGTGTGTGTGTTTTCATTTCTCTTAGCTATATACTTAAAAGTGGAATTGTTGGGTCATGTGTAAACTTGGTGGAATTGCCAGGTTACTTTATGAAGTTATCCTTATTTTT